GTAGAGTTTAAAACAGTCTTCACATTCCTAGCTACCGTACGAAAAACGGCTTTCTGTTAATGGGGTTCCCACTCATGTAGAACGCTTCCATTGAAACTTTCTCATAATAAAACACCTACCTAAAAGAATAGGATATTTTAAGTAAGTGTTTCTCACCTTGAACTCATTGTTTTGACGAAAACAAACGTCTTCTATGTGATTCAACGACAGAGAAATGAAGACATTTCGTGAGAAAACATACACACCAAACAACTCGTTTATGAATTACTAGCAAAGATATTCTTTCAACTAATGAAATGATTGAGAAGAAGAAACTTTTCTCTCAAGTTTACCAGAAAACAACCTTAAAATTTGCAGCCGATTGCTAAATATCGCCATTTTACTCACCGAGAGAACGCAAATGCTGCATTCAAAAAAAATTTTCCCGCGCGCAGCCCCTTTTTACCGGACGTGACGTCACTTTTTGTTGGCTAAACTAAACTCAAAAAAAGTGCCAGGCGTCGCAGAGTGTTATCCCCCGCCCCTGGGGGGAGTGCTTTAAATACCGACAAATTTTTTTTTAAAATGTAAAACTTTAAGGTAAAANCGTCTCCAAGCAGTTACTGTAGAGTTAAAAACAGTCTTCACATTCTTAGCTACCGTTCGAAAAACGGCTTTCTGTTAATGGGGTTCCCACTCATGTAGAACGCTTCCATTGAAACTTTCTATAAAACACCTACCTAATAGAATAGGATTTTTCAAGTAAGTGTGTCTCACCTTGAACTCATTGTTTTGACGCAAACAGACGTCTTCTATGTGATTCAACGACAGAGAAATGCAGACATTTCGTGGGAAAACATACACACGAAACAACTCTTTTATGAATTACTAGCAAAGACATTCTTTCAACCAATGAAATGATTGAGAAGAAGACACTTTTCCCTCAAGTTTGCCAGAAAACAACCTTAAAATTTGCAGCCGATTGCTAAATATCGTCATTTTACTCACCGAGAGAACGCAAATGCTGCATTCAAACAAAATTTTCCCGCGCGCGGCCCCTTTTTACCGGATGTGACGTTACTTTTTGTTGGCTGAACTAAACATAAAAAAAAGTGCCAGGCGCGCAGAGTGTTATTCCCCGCCCCTGGGGGGAGTGCTTTAAATACCGACAAATTTTTTTTTAAAATGTAAAACTTTAAGGTAAAAAGCTGTTAAAATTATGAGTCTAAACGTTTTCGATCTGTTTGATCATCATCAGAGTTTCACTCTGATGATGATCAGACTCAGAAACTCTGATGATGATCAAACAGATCGGAAACGTTTGGACTCATAATTTTAACAGCGTTTTACCTTAAAGTTTTATATTTTACTTTTATCGGCGAAATGTATATATATATTTTTTAGTATTCCTACAATTAGTGCCTGGTGCTATCTGGGATATAATGCAATAGCTGCCATTTTGTTTTGTGACAGGACCCCATCACCCCAAGGTGATGGGCCCATTCGGTCCGATTCAAAAGCTCAACGACCCAAGTTACTTTTGGGGTGTGGGTTGGGGAGGGGTGTCTCGTTTCCTATCTCTAGGAGCGAGTGGGCAAGAGATCGACTGCAAATGAAAAATATTTCAGCCGGAGGGAGGTGAATAGGGGTATGCAAATCCGCCGATCCGTTTCTTTTTTTCACCAAATCCGTCGACGCCCCAATATTTTTGCTCAAATCTGAAACCACAACCACGTCCGGAAACTGAAGTGAAAAAGTTCAAAGATAAATTGGCTTCTGATGCAGCACCACGGATTCTTTAGAAACTAATAGCTAGCTACTTCTGACATGGCTTGGCGGATGTGTCTGCCGTGATTCAGCCTGATGCTAGGTGTTTCTACACTACGTCCTATCAGTGCATGAAGTGAATAGAGACTGACAAACATCCTGCGCTGCAGCACAGTTAATAGAGGGAATGGTTAGGGAACCTGGCAAAGTTCTTTGTTGTATGTTTTTGTTGGCTATTTTGGGGGTTGACCCTGCGCAAAACTTGGCAAAATACAAAAGGTGGTTATCTGTGTACTACTCATACTACTAATCAACCGTTTCTTTCTATTAACTATGACTACAGTAATTTAGCGGTTTTACTCGAGTGTCTTGAAACCAAAACCAAAGTAATCGCTCAATCCAATCACAAAGGACAAAGGCTATATCGAGAGCCAATCAAAACTCGAAGTAGATACATGTAGGTGACGCAAAGCGCGCGAAAACGAGTGCGAGTGAGACACGATTGGGTTTTAGTTTTACTTCTGATTGGATGAAAAATTGGCGCGAGTTTTGTTAAGCCAATCGCGTTGCGTAGTAAGTGCAAAACCAATTACTTTTCAACACTCAAATGAAAATCGCTCAATGTTAACAACATAACTAAGATATTTTGTAAATAAATTGTGATATGCAACTTGAGACAGAAAAAAATTTATTTTCAATAGGGATCGCTTCTTATTAAAAAGTCTATAATATAAGAAAACTTAACATTTTCATCATTGGTCTAAAGGAGTGTTGACTGCCACCTAAAATGATCAATTTTACATGGGCATTATTAAAGGTGCTTGAAACAGACAATTTGCCATCGCTCCTACTCACGTTTTTAGTTTCTTATTAACTAAAGTTCTTATGAAAATAAAACTTGTGGTCAATAATTCATAAGAAGGCAGTTTTCACTTAGTTCATGATAATGCATAGCTCAAGTTGGCCTGTATAAACCAGTTCAGTTCTAATTAAATTTAAAGTAATACTTGGAAATATACATTAATCCTTGTAAGTAATATCACTAGAATATTTTTGATGGACATGCATAATCCTAATTATAAAGTGATCTTAACTTTTATAATACTGTATTGTACACAGACCAGGTAAAGAAGAAATCTGCCATCAATAACTGAAGTAAGAATTGTGCCAGGTTGTTATATTTCTGTTAAAAACTGATCTTAATCTCAAGAATAAAAGTTTCTTATTTTGGTCTGGTCTTGAAAGTTCTCTTAAAAAAATGTAAATTATTTGAGAAATCAGCTTTCTATGACAAATAAAATGTTTAACACATCTTCAGCTAGCTGATGTAAACTGGGTAGAGGATTCAATATTGTACAGTAAATAGGCATCTAAAAATATGCTACTCTTACTACTAATAATATTAATGTTGAAATAAAAATGTCTGGACAAGCAACAGGTACTGTGAAGCTCCTTAAGATGCATAATGTTTATTGGTTACGACAACAAGTTCAATTCTTTAGGGTGATGAAGTTAATAATAATAATATACAGGGTTTTAGTACAGAGAGTCCGCGTTGTTTGTGCGAGGTTTCTTGATCTTGTCCAGATTCTTGGTGATGGTGTCATGCAGTGAAAGCTATAACATAGGATTGAAGCAAGTTTCAGTACATAAATTTCCCCATAAAACAAACTTAATACCTGAAAATATAGAAGGGCTGCAGCCGGGATGAATCATTGTAAAATATAAAAATGCTCTCTGGCTAAGAGTACATAAAAAACACAAGCTTTTGACTGTCTTAACTTCATTCTTCACAGGGCAAAATGGTATAAAGGCTGACAAAACGGTATAAGTTTTTAGCACCCAAATACCATTTTGCCTACTGAAGACTGTAGTTAAGACAGTCAAGAGCATGTGCTGTTTGTATACTTTTAGCCAGAGATCGTTTTTATCATTTACCAAAATAGACACCTTTAGATATTTTCCTTCAGTGGCATTTTCCAAAATAACAATACCAAAGTTCAAATGAGGCCTGAAACTCCTGTTAAAATTGAGGGTTAAAATCCGAGCTTTTGCTGATCCATGACAACATTAGGAATAAAAAAAAATGTTCCATGTAAGGCTTATAAATAAATGAACTTTTGAACTTTTTGTATTGTTACCCTGAAAACAAAACCTTTGGCCAGTTACTGAATTGCACGCCATACAACATTTTCTTACATAATGATTTCGCAGCTCACAGCAACAGAGGCGTAAACTGGTGAACTCCTTTTCATCTAACTCGATTACAGCTTGTCTGTAGTCATCCTATTGAACACACACAACAGTAAAGCATCAAATTTTGAAGGGAACAGTATTGTATACATTTACTCAGAATGGATCACTTTACTAAATGTCAAATGCCCCTTATGGGAATTGTTCACGCAACAAAATACAGATCCAATACATGTATGTCAAGTTTCCATGGCACGATTGGTTTTAAGATGTTTCTGACTTTAAATTTTACAACCAGTTACATTTTCCTTTTCCTTTCTTTCAAATCATGGTATTTAAATATAAATGAGACAACGAAAATTAAAAATATCTATTTAAATATATTTAGTTGTTGGAAAATTGCAAACCAAACACAAATTGAAACCACAACATGAATAAATCTTTTATACTGGCTTTATCATGTTGTTAGTCACAGAAAAATATCAAAGATGACATACAAAAAATATCTTACCAACTGAGGGTATTTTATGATCTTAGAAACAATTTTTCCTCTTGTGATGTAATATCTACCAATAAAAAAAGGTTCATTAAACTTCTTAGTATTAAGGGTGAAACAAAACTTCACCCCAAACTTCATTGCCAGCAATTTGACATGGCTGTTTCAACTAACAGAAATCTCAGATGTTCTTCTTAAATATTATTATTTTGACAGAGTTTATTAACCACGCGGCCATG